AAACCTATAGGATATTTTATTAATTTTAAAATTCTACCTCATAATAACAGTCCAACTCAACTTTTTCAAAATCCTACTCAAAATAATAAAACAAACACACCCACACTTTTCATAACTTTACACCTAACAGATTCCATTGACGAGATCGACGAAGGGTGGGAATTTGTTTTTTTCTCAACATTTATAGGTGCAAAAATGTAATTAAGACAAACCTCGGGTGGGACGTTGACTCAGATTTTAATTAATCTGATGTTGATTTATAAACTATTTGCCTTTTTGATAAACATATGCTTTACTAATTGTCACACTTTTTTTATGATTAGAAGTCTAGAATTACTTTACCATAAAAAATTTTCTATGAAAATGATCTCAACCGTTGAATTTTAGTTTTGGTCTTTGACATTAATGTTTTTGTTTCCATTTATTATTTATTTATTTATTCATTCAATTAAAAATGATGTGAAAAGAGAATAGGAAACACAAGTCAATAACTATTTTTATAATATTATTTTTTTATTGATTTTTTATACAGGAGGTTGTACCTGTCACTGGATCTACCTAACTAACAACCTTATCCACTGGTTTTAATCAGCTACACTAGTCTCCATGCCATATGCATGGACCGCTATGGTATATGGACCGTTTTGCCCTTCACTTTTTCGTGGTTTATGATGTAAACTCATGTGCTTATCTATAAATATAACTTACGCCCGAAGTATTAATAGAATGGTTAGATCGGTGGTTTGTTCAAACAAGATCTATAATTTTATTCTCGTGATAGATACTTATATGGTCAAGGATCATTATTTTTTATTTTTTATAAATTATAAGGTTCGGTGGGAACTTTAATTTCAAGCTTAGCTTCAAAAAAGAACTAAGGTAGAAGGGTTTCTAGATGAATTATTTGATTATGAATACATGATTAAAGGGTATTATTTTTTGTTTCTTAAAGATTATAAGGTTCGACGAGGACTCCAATTTTGAGTTCAGCTACGGAAAGGAAGGTTTGGAAGAATTTTATACATATTTCTTGATTATTAGAAAAAAAAAAAAAAAAAAAAGGAACAAACTGTGAATACAAATTATTTGACTATGGGAAACGTGTAATGATGTACTTGCCATTTTTATTTTTATTTTCATGACCCTAATCTGACAAGTCAAGAAAAAAATCGACTTATTTACTAATTAATTTAAAAAAAATAAAAATAATCAAGTATTTTCTTTTGAACCAAGTTTTTATTAAATTAACTATAATCGGGTGGCCGGAGCATATAAGTCCAAAAAGAACGTATGATGAGTTTTGAGTTCGAGTTTTTTTAGGTATTAATAAGATAATATTAGGGTTTTTATTCAATCGATAGTTTTAGGTCTAAAAGAATCAGTTGAAGTGTACACGAGCTAACCTGAATACCCTTGATCATAAAACCCAACAACAAAAAAAAAAAAAAAAAAAAACATTGGATGACCCGAATGTAGAAAAACAAAAGGAGGTCTCATGAGTTCGTAAGTTTAAGTCTTTTCAAACACTAATAGAGGTAACCACTGAGACTCATACCCGGTTGATAGTTTTAGGGTTAATAGATTTGTTGAGGTACGTAAAAACTGACTCAAACACTTATAGTGATAAAAAAAAGTTTTTATTCAATTTTTTAATTTAAAGAAATAAAAAAATTATAATAGTTTTGAAATCCTTAAAAGGGAAATGTAAGGCAGAGATTTAAGGTTTAAAGTTTAGGGTTTAATAAATATATAGATTTTGGCCAGCTTTTAATTTTTATTTCTTTCTAAAATTTTTATTTTCCATTTTTTATTTAATAACTGACTTTATTTTTATTTTTAAATTTATTAACCTTAAATTAATATAAACCAAACTAGGGTTGAAAAATACATTTAATAAAGTTTGGGCGTAAAAATGTTTATTCAACCTCATTAAAAATTATAAAATCAAATAGTAAACCGGAATTATATAGCTGTGTTTGTTTTATTATTCAAAATATTATCATATCCAATCCTATTCAAAATACATATTTGTTTTAATATTTTCAAAATCTAATCATATTCTATTCAACTCAAAATATTTAGATTTTTTAACCTCTTATGTTTGTTAATTTAATTAAACACCCCCAATAATAAAAGTTTATAAATTAACAAAAACACCCCCCTCCCCCCTCCTCCCCCCCCCAATCATATTCCCAACAGTCAGCCACCATTGTCGAAATGTGGTCAGAATCTGTCGGAATGGTGCACAACTAGTTGGATGTGGTCGATCGTGCGTCGATCTGACATTTTTCGACCAAATCCATGATGGATATGGCTGAAAAAGCTAGATCTATAGCCAAAGATTTGGACTTCAAGCCACATCTAGTTGTCAATGACGGCCAAGATATGACCGTTGTCAATGACCAGATCTTTGGCTGTAGATCTGGCCGTTTTTGGCCAGATCCATGGTGGATCCAGCCAGAAAAATGCTAGATTGACACTCTATTGGAGAGATCCAATCAGTCGTGTGCCATTCTAGCATCTTTTGGTCGCTGTCCGGCGATGGTGGCCAGCTGTCGGCATTTACTGTGTGTGTATGAGTGTTTTTGTTAATTTTAAAACCTTTATTACAGGGGGTATAGCTAAATTAACAAATTTACGAGGTTAAAAAATAATTTGGGTGTGTTTGTTTTATCATTTTGGGTAGGATTTTTGTGTTTGTTTTATTATTTTGGGTAGGATTTCAAAAATCCTACCCAAATACATATTTGTTTCCCTATTTTGAAAAATCAATCATATTCTATTCAACTAATTTTAAACCCCCTGGGTTTTTTAATTTAGCGAAACACCTCCAACAAAAGAAAGTTTAGAAATTGAGAAAAATACCCTCACGCACTCATATTTGCCAGATTCCAACCACCACTACTGGAAGGTGGCCATGATTTGGCATAATGACACACTACCAACTAGATTTGACCCATAGTGCACTAATCTAACATTTTCTGGCTAAATCCACTGTGGATCTGACCTTTTGGCCAAAAGTCTGGTAGTTGATGGTCAGATCTACGACCACATCTGGTTATCAACGATGACTATATCTTTGGTCGGAAAAGACCATATTAGCGCATGATCGACTAGATCTAGCCGGTCGTGCACCATTACACCATATTCTGACCACCTTTCGATGGTAGTGGTCAGAATCTGGCAAATATGGGTGGGTGAGAGTGTTATCATCAATTTTTAAACTTTTATGTATGGGGTGTTTAGCTAAATTAACAAACATAGAGAGTATTTTATTAATTTTTAAATCCTATCTCAGAATAACAACTCAACTCAACTTTTTCAAAATCCTACTTCAAATAATAAAACAAACATACCCTTCTCTTTTCATAACTTTACACCTAACAGATTCCATTGACGAGATTGACGAAGGGTGTGAATATGTGTTTTTCTCAATGTTTATAGGTGCAAAAGTGTAATTAATACAAACCTTGGGTGGGGAATTGTCATTCACTCATAATAATATGATTGTTTATAGTTGACTCACATTTTAATTAATCTGATGTTGATTTATAAACTATTTGCCTTTTTGATAAACATATGCTTTACTAATTGTCACATTTTTTTATGACTAAAATTACTTTACCATAAAAAATTTACATGAAAATGATCTCAACCGTTGAATTCTAGTTTTGGTCTTTGACAGTGATGTTTTCTTTTCCATTTATTATTTATTTATTTATTCCTTCAATTAAAAATGATGTGAAAAAAGAATAGGAAACACAAGTCAATAACTATTTTTATAATAAATTATTCACATTTTTTATGATTTTTTATACTGGAGGTTGTACCTGTCACTGGATATATCTAATTAACAACCTTATCCACTGGTTTTAATCAGCTACACTAGTCTCCATGCCATATGCATGGACTGCTATGGCATATGGACCGTTTTACCCTTCACTTTTTCGTGGTTTATGATGTAAACTGATGTTAACTATAAATATAAATTACGAATGGTTAGGTCGGTGGTTTGTTCATACAAGATCTATAATTTTAGTGTCGTGATGGATACTTATATGATTAAAGATCATTATTTCTTATAGATTATAATGTTCGGTGGGAACTTTAATTTCAAGTTTGGCTTCAAAAAACCAAGGTTAGAAGGTTTCTAGATGAATTATTTGATTATGAATACATGGTTAAAGGGTATTATTTTTTGTTTCTTAAAGATTATAAGGTTCGGCGAGGACTCCAATTATGAGTTCGACTACAGAAATGAAGGTTTGGAAGAATTTTAGACATATTTCTTGATTATTAAAAAAAAAAAAAACTGTAAAGACAAATTATTTTAATAAACAAATCACTTGTGATCTGTCCGAGTTTCTACATCAAATATATTCTTTTAAACAAGGGTATTTGTTCTTTGAGTGGGAACTCAAGATCAGCCTTATAAAAACCTTATATTCCCTAAGGAAGCTTTATCTCGTGGAAACACTCTTTAATGAAACTTTAGTTATAACTAGTCGTGACAAAGAAATCACTGATTTCACTCGGTGGATCGAGAATGTCCGACTTATCAATTTATTTAGTAAACTATTGGGGGCTCATGTAGCCTATGCCAGATTAATCATATTATGGGTCGGAGCAATGAATATTAGACAAACCTTCGAGAAAAGTGATGTTTTAAATGGATGTATAAGAAATTTCGATAAAAAAAAAAAAATTAGTTTGCATTTGAGTAAGCCAAAAATTAAAAAATAAAACCAAAACGGGGAATTAAAAATTTCCGCTCTATCAAACGGTTGAAATCACGCAAAACAATTTTCCGCTCTATCAAACGGTTGAAATCACGCAAAACAATCAGATATAACAGCAAAAACTGGATCTAGCAAATCAACTCACCGAAACCTTGTTAAATCTCTGTAAAGTCCAAAAAGCCATTCTGTTTCTTGTATATTTCCCATCAAGGCAAAACACGTTCGTTGTACCTCCCAGCGCAAATTAACGTCATGTCCTCAACCGGAAAACTCTCAACACAACACGCTCAGTACAAAAAGAGAAAAAACAAATTTACCATTTTGGGAAAAAAAAATCCAGTGGGCCACTCCCCCGCACTCATATATATAAACTCCACGTCACTCGACCCATTTCATGTGAATGTAGAGCCAGGGAGAGGGAGAGGGAGAGAGAGAGAGAGAGAGAGAGGAGAAGCGTTTTAGAGAGAGACAGGTTTTCGGTTTTTGATATCTGGTAAGTTGAATTTCTGTTTGGTTACCGAGAAAATGAGGGAAAATAAAGGAATTATGGTTCGTTTTTGTTTTATTTAATTTTGTTTTGCTATTTTTTTTTCTTTGAAGTGAAGAAGCTTATAGACTGAGTCAAAGCGAGTTTTATTTATTTCTATTGTTTAATATTTTTAGATGCATTGCCGTGTTGTTTTATGCATTTTTTGTTTGAGTGTTTGGTTGCTGAGGAACTGAGGGAAAATGAAGGAAGTTGAGTTTTGTTTTGCTGTCACATCTTTTCAAGTGAAGAAACTGACAAACTTAGTCAATACATATAAATATTTGTGTTTTTGGTTGCCTTGAAAACGAGGGGAAAATACAGGAATTTGAATATTTTTTTTTTTTTTAATTTTTAATGAACCTGAATAGTTGATTCACTAGTCTGTTTGTTTGTTTAAACTTTCTGGAGCTCTTCGACATTGTTTTATAGGTTCGATACATTTATATTTGATTGTTTGATGGCTGAGAAAATGAATAAAAATGGTAGAATGTGAGGTTTGTTATATTTTACTGTATATATTTTTTTGAAATTTTTCTATGAAAGGTTACTACTCTTCTCATCTGAGCTAAATAGTTGCTTATTTATGGATTTGTTTATGTTGAAGTGTTTGGTATCCGAGAAACGAAAGAAACAATGGAATTGAATTTTTTATGTGTTAGAGAAAATGATGAAAGTCAAAAACCTTGATTGGTGGTGTCACAATTGTTTAGTAGGTTGAGAAATTCTCTTTAAATTAGTCATAATTGTTATGCCAACGGTTGTTATACTGGATTTGGTAAATTAAAAAAAAGATTTTATATCCCCAATCTTAATGTGTTATATGAAAATCGAATTTTGTTTTGTCTAGGATTTTCTCGGTGTCTTTTTGGTATGGGCTTGGAGGAACGATTTGCAGGGCAGCACATTGATGGGGACAAAACTGACCAACCTTGGACTATATCTGTGCATGCTTTTTCGGATTTAACCTACATTTCTCCTGTGGTTTTCATATACCTTCTGAAAGAATGTTATATTCATGGTAAGTTGTTCTTCCATCATTACTAATCTTATTGTCCACAAGCACACTCTTAAATATTCCAGTTATTACTGTATAGAAAGAAGGATTTTCTTATATCTGCATATTTAGTTTGTGAAAGAGTTGACAGAGGTATATCAAATTGCTAGTTCTAGTATTTTGATATATACATTAAGATTATCACCAAAGTGAAGGAGAAGGGGTTCATTGCAGAAAGATACAATAGAAGCTCTCTGTTCATGTTCACGTTTAATTGTAAATAAATGCATTTCACAGGTACATGCAAAGCAACTAGAAAGTTCCGAGCTCTACAACAACAAGTTCACCAAGTACTATGCAATTCTCCCCAGCCTGGACCAGCCACTTTTGTTATTCGATGTCTCTATGTCTTGCCTATCTTTGGGTTATATTCTGAAGGTTTTAGTCACTTGATTATTTCTTCTCTTCGTCGGTACCTAAAAGCAGCAGCCACCTCAACAGACTCCTCTAAAGCAAAAGAAATTGCTACCAGGTTAATTCTTGAAATTGTTGGGGGCTCTGTTGACCATGATGAGAAGATAGTTGTGAAGATACTTGAAGTTTTTGATTTAAACTTGATAGATATTGACAAATCCATAAGCCAACTAAAGGCCCAGAATGATTATAGGTTTGACACTGCAAAAACATTTATTGAGCAATACATTTTTGCATTGATAGAATCACAGTCATATATGACAGCAGTCTCTCTGTTAGAGCATTTCTCTATCCGCCAATCTGGAGAGTCTTTTCTCCTAAAAATGATCGAAAACAAACAGTTCAAAGCAGCTGAGAAATGGGCAACTTTTATGGGGAAGCCGATGTTATGTCTAGTGGTCCAGGAATATGCCGACAGAAACATGTTAAAGAACGCTTATGATACTATAAAGAAAAATAATCTTCAGCAGGATTTTCCGGATGTGTATCACAAGTGTAAAGAAAGGTACTTTTGCTGATTTGCATTTGCTCAAAAGCATGGCTTCTTTTCCAGAATAATATTGTTCTATTGGTTTCTATTGTCTTCAATCCCTTTTCTTTTTTTGCTCTTTCCGTATCTCCTGAAAAAGAAAAAAGATCAAAAAAATCAACAATGTTATTATATCAACTTGCAGCTCATTGAAGCAGCTGGCGGAAAAAGCATGCTGGGATGTTGCAGAGGCAAAGACAAAGGGTGATAAGCAACTGCTGGAGTATCTGGTGAGTAACTTTTGGCAGGGGTGATTATACATTGTTGAATTTCTATTACTTATCTGGGCTGGAAGTTTTCTTGAAAATTATTGTTTAGGTAATAAAGAACATCACTTCAAGAGTCAATTTTTCCTACTTTTTATGTTTGTCAGTGCCTTTGGCAATATTTTATAATTTCTTTATATTAAGTTTTGCCTCATTTTGATATGAGTGAATAATTAAACCTTTTTTTTTTTTTTTTTTTTGATAAAAACTTTGACTTAGTTATTTCTTCTCTCTAAATTTTTTCTTAATTGAAATTGCTATAACACGCTTGTTTCCTAAAGCATGGTTCTTAACTACCTTATAGACTAAGTAGATTGCTTATTTTATTGTTTTCTCAAGCTAGTCCTTCTTTAATGGACTGCTTGTTCACTTTTGTATAGTTCTCTTTTGCTTTTGTATACATCTTTCATAGTTTCTTATAAAAGAAAAAACAGCTACCTTGTAGATTAAGTGTTACAAATATAACTTTCTTAATTTTAAGGTTTATTTGGCAATGGAAGCGGGTTACTCAGAGAAGGTTGATGAACTGTGTGATCGATACTCCCTTGAAGGTTTTCTCAAACCCAGAGGTAGTGAAAAATATTTTGTTTTTCCTTGGGCATTAAATTTAAGCTGGATGGATGTGCTATTCAGAGTTCATCGTAACTGTGAAGAAGATAACAAAACAAGACTAGAGATCTACCACAACTTTTATTGCAATTTTTTTATTACCCTTGGTTTTGTTTGTTATTATTGTTTAGAAGACTTTTTTAGAAAATGAGAATCAGGATTAGCAAATAGTAAATTAGGACCAAATCTTCTAATGTTTGTTTGTGCTAGATGTCAGATCAAAATATTGTTTAATAAGTTCATCCAAATAGAGCTGAAGGATTCATGGAGTCTTTGGTGCTCCTTGTTGCATTTTGTAATGATTCTTCATTTCTGATGGACATACATCTTAGATGATTTACATGTGCACTTTCACATACACTCACATGTATGCATCAAATCTTGAACACCCTCCTCTATGCTTGCTTATCTGTATGCACAGACTCACATGAAGGGACTTCTTTACTTGATGTTCAATGATTGTATTCTTTAGACCCTTACATTACTACTCTCTTATGTTGCACAGAACCTGAGGCTGGTATTCCACAGAGTCGCTTTTTGCATCTAAAAGAATTAGTTGAAGAAGACCTAATTTGGGTTGATGAAGTTGATAGTTTACGTAATGCAACTTGCCACATTGAAGGATGTAAGGTTGTGGGTGTTGACTGTGAATGGAAACCCAATTATGAGAAAGGCAGCAAACCAAACAAGGTACTTTCTGTAAATATTAAACTGTATGCTGCAATTAATATCTTCCTTAGTTGATTCTCTTCTGGTTCTGGATTGTCTGAGTTGTTTTATTTGAATTTATTCTATTTTATTAAGAACTTCCTTAATGTGATTGACTTGTTAAACAGAACCTCTTTTGAGATCTTAATAAATCTCTTTCATAAGACATGCGTTTAACATCATATTTTGTTAAGTATATTTTCTTTCCCTAATCCATTTGCATTCTTCATCCTTTTTTGTCTAAAAACTTAATGGATTCCAATCTTTATATGCATTTTCTTTCCTTGGTTTAGATTGAGGATAATAAGAACACAAACCCAAACTTGTAGAAACAATTTTCTAAAATTCTGCTGCACTTGATAGAATTTTCTTAAATCTTGCTGCACATGATATCAGTAAATAATGAACATATGAGATCTTTCATTGATAGAACAGTGCTCTTTTCACTAATGGTTGTGTAAATGGTTTTCTTTCTGTGACATTTGCCATTTTTTGCACACAATGCAAAACTTTGTGAAGTGCCAGTCCAATAGTCTGTAGTGGAATATGTCATTGAGTTTCCAGTTTGAACCATCATCATAAGATGTACTTGACACCTTTCTCCTCTCTCTCTGTGGCATGCCGTTCTATGCTGATCTTAATATATTGTGATAAATTTTCTCTTGTGCTGTTTTATGCTGATTGTAGATTATTGTGATTAATTTGTTTGTATATTTCCCTTTTATACTTTTTGTATGTTTGAGTTGTATTTCATTGGTGCCTTCAATTGAAACAGTTTTAGTCACAAGAAAAGCAAATTGTTTGTATGGGTTCTAACACCTTTTTGTTTGTATGCTGTCGACTCTTTTTGGTTAATGTGTTAATGATGCTTCTCTCTTCATGTCCCTATGTATATTTTTACTGTTTGCAAATTGCTTCTCTCTTCAATTAAAAATGCCTATTCTGTGTTTCAGGTTTCTATTATGCAAATTTCTTCTGATACGAAGGTTTTCATCCTTGACTTGATAAAGTTATATAAAGATGTGCCCGATGTTTTAGACAACTGCCTAACTCACATTTTGCAGTCTCCTGGAATTCTGAAACTTGGTATGAAATATCTGAACACACCATTTCAAGGAGAACTGCTCTTATATAATATTTAGAACTTCAAAAAAGTATTTGAATCACCTGGGTTCCCAGCAGTTATAAGGGATCCTACTAATGATTTAGATAAAGGTTTTAGCTATTTTAGCTGTTTATGCTTTAAATGCGATCTTCCAGATTTGTTGGTTTAGTATTTTTCATTCTCTAGAATGTTTGATGTGTGATTTGTGCACCTTGTAGGTTATAATTTTCAATGTGATATGAAGCAACTGGCTCATTCTTATGGAGAGTTGGATTGCTTCAAGCACTATGAAATGTTACTGGACATTCAGAATGTATTCAGAGAACCTCGGGGTGGCCTGTCAGGACTTGCAAAGGTAAGTTACAACGTAAATATACTCCCAGCTCTTCCTTTCCCATTTCCCCTGAATATTGCTTCTAACTTGGTGTTTCTTTCTTGCTCGGTGTTTCCATGCTATTAAATTAGAAAATACTGGGAGCAGGCTTGAACAAAATGAGAAGGAACAGCAACTGGGAGCTACGGCCTTTGAGTCCAAATCAGGTTTGTTCCCTTTTGTGATTATTAATTTATCTTTTCCAAGTGGTGGTACTTGACTGTGTTGCCAAAAACAACTTACTGAAGTTGCAGAAACATATTCCAATTGTCGAAGGGGAAGATTAGTTTTCATTTCTTTGTTCTTCCTCTCCGTGTCTGCCCTTTTAATATACTATGTCTTAATGAAAGTTAAAGTAAAGCCATCCAACAGCAACATCATTGTAAATAAAGACTTGTATTTGTTTATTCATGAATTATATTAAAGTGATGAAATGACATTGTTACTCGACATTGGAAACTCACTAAACCTTAGTTCACTTGTAATAATTTTTGTATATCCAACAGGAAAGTTGTATATCTTCATGTTAGAATCCCCTGAAATTTGTTCTTGTTACTTTGGAAGATTTTACAGAAGTGTGGTGAGTGTGTCGTATTCCTCTCGTATATAGCATGCTCCAAACTGATTCTGAGATCATATTACGATGCTTTTGCTCCAATAGATATGATATTAGATGGAGTTTAGTTCAATGATTTCCATTTTGAATGAAGTTTGTCGTTTTTATTGTTTCTCATTGAAGCTGAAATAGAGCTATCTATGATGCAGCTAGAATATGCTGCCCTTGATGCTGCTGTACTCATTCACATATTCCGCCATGTTCGCGATCACTCTCAGCCTACTAATGTCTCAGTGGGTCATGACAAATTCGAGTGGAAATCCTACATTGTGAGTATTGATGAAAAGATTTAATCCCCAAAAAAAAGCACCTTGTCAGACGTGTGCTCAAGAATTCTGTCATCTAATTTTGGATAAAATGTGCAGGTTTCACACATGGATAAATCAAAGAAGTCCAAAAAAGGATCTACGATTAAAAAGAGAGGAGACGACGGAATCTGAGGCCAACAACTCTTAAGTTGTCAATCTCATCCATCTGTAAATATTTTCCTCTCAGTTTTAAGAATTTACTTACTGGTTAATGCTGTAGCTGTGAATATTATTGCCTCTTTATATTGAAAAGTAGGGTTTCTTTGCAAAATTGAGTACTGTATTGTTGTCTCTCTCATTGTTAAAATGTCAAAATAATGCTTTTGTGTTTCAGAATTTTAAACGCGCAAGCTAATTGTTTCTTATGAAACTAATAACCCTATTGCGGTGTATTAGGTTTCTCTTCTATATGATTTTTGCCTGAACAAAACGTTGATTTTAATCAATGGTTGATAAATGACGTAGTTAATCACTTTGTCCATTTTTCGGGGTTTTAGAGGGACGTAGAAACAAATAAGAACTCTTGAATGGAAATGGAAAAGAGATGCAACTCCAATTCCATTAGAGAAAGGGGTTAGTCCGTATCGTATCACTTCGCGTACACGTATTGGATAGAAACTCTTCCACTCTTTTATTAGTCGAGGTATGCGTAAACTGGTCCGGACTCAGTTATTAGAAAAAAAAATAGTACAAATTAGTAGATTCTAATTCAGTGCTGTAAATGACAGTTTTGGTGTTATAGATTGTAAGGTTTCTCACATGGATACTACTGGTGGTTTAAACAGAGAGTATTGGAGATGTTCTCTCACATGGTAATTTTCTCAAAGCATTAATAAGTACAATATAACAACCATCCTTAATTGAAATATGAATGTGTGTCCCAAAAATAGGATAGGACAGGATTGGATTAGAAAGCTTAACACCTTCCACTCTTTTGTACCAACAGAAAAAACTACCTCACCTCACTTCTCCACCTCTCCTTACAATTACAACAGTTAAAAAAAGCATATTACATATATATAGTTATATACATCACCAAACTCTTGCTTATAACTTCACCTTTTCTGCCTCTTTCTCAATCACCCACAACCTCTAAAATATATATATATATATATATCTTATGGGTGAGTTCCGACCATCCTCCGGCAAAACTTATGAATATAGAGGTGGCCAGAATCTGGAGATTGTCAACGAAGATACCGTAAAAACAGCTACCAACCTATACATTGGGCGGTCTCGTTCGCTATTTGGCCCCGTAGGACCCCATTTTAAAAATTACAACAATGTGAAGATCAAGTCCTCTAGGAAGCCACCATCTTCATGGTGGAATGGTCCTGATGCGAAGAGAAAGAGGAGAACTGTTAAATACAAGTATTATGCTGTGGAAGGGAAGGTGAGATTTTCCATTGAGAAAGGGTATCATTGGTTCAAAACCAAATGGTCTAAGGCTGTTCATGGGTTCTAGCAATAGGAAGAGAAAAGCAGAAACAGAGAAAACAAAAACATAAAACATGAACATAGTGTTGTCAGGAGGGTAAGTTAATCATGTTTGTTAAATTTGTAGATTGGTCTGTAATTATGTAAAACCCTTTCTTTGTATGTTTTCCTGGACCATGTAAATGTTTTCAGATTTTTTATTTTTATTATTATTTTTTATTTTTATGAATAAATTATATATATATATATATGTATATATTAGTTCTTTAATCAGGACCATCTTGATATCATTTATCAGGATTATACTTGAATACCATTGGATTAACTCATTTGATTGAAATAATATGCAAGAGGATCTAAAGGTGATTAAGCATGACGATCATGGCTAAAGAAAGAATATATATATATACCATTTAAAAATCACTTTTCGTTAAATATACAAAACGAGAATATTATACAATTTATAAAATTTGTATAATAGAATGGGGTCGAATTGATTCGAATCATTCGTGAATTTGTTCAATCTCGTTTCAAATCAAGCCAAAATCATCATAATCTTTAATCAAATCAGTCAACTAAAAATTAATACAAACTCGACTGGTTTATTTTCACTCGTTTTAAATATTTTTATTTTGTTTATCAAAATTAAAAAAAAAAAAAAATTTAGCTACCAACCAAACTCGTTTCTTTCGGGTAACTTATGGTTCGGATTAAACAATTAAGGCGGAAGAGAAGCTTAAACGGTGACTTTTAAAGCTTCGAATTCTCAATAAATCTCAGCTGGTTAACACTCACTCTAGGTTTCAACCTGAAAGCACAATTTAGCGCGGGAGATTTTCAATCATTTCATCACCCTTCAATCAATCGATTCGTCGGATATGGGCGGCCATGATCTCGAGTTCGAGAAAGTTCATTGCTAAGCTTGGCTCTTGATTTTGGCTTTGAAAGACTTCCTCTAAGAAATGCTTGAATCGTTTGATTTCCTCTACGGTACTTTTTTTATAATTTTTTTTTTTTTTTTTTTTTTTTTTGTTTATTTTATGTTTCTTTTACGATAACGTTACGGAAAAATTATTGCTTGAAACATGATATGGGTCATAATTGAAGCATATAAAGTTTTCTTGGACGATTTGATTGTTGTGAAGGTGATGATGGGCGAGATTTTGTGTCTGTGGAGCATTGTGGAAATGATTTTCTTGCCGCGTTGGCTGAAACCATGCAAGACAGTGAGGACTGGGATGATTTACTGGCTATGGAGTCTGAAGCTTGTGGAGCTTTGAATAACATGTTGGACGAAAGGGTTTTGAATAATGGTGCGGCTGATAACGATGACAGTACTAGAAATTATATTGACATTGTGGATGATTCACCTCAGCCTAAAAAGCGCCCAACTTTGATGGAGTTGGACTCTTCAAGTGATGATGAAGACTTGGACATCAGAATTCCGAAGCAAAAGGATCAGAACAGTCATTCCTGCACTCGAAGTTTGGGTAAACAGTTTCCAAGATCCTTGTTAAGAGTTAGTGGATGGTAGTTTTAGCTCTTTGCTGCAAACTTATCATTCACCTCGGCTGGTTGTGTGTATTGTTTAGTTATGATACTTTAGGCTTACCTGCTATCAAATTTTTATTTAACTTGGGTCTAAAGTAATTCTGGATACTGCAGTGGTTGGTTTATATTGAAGGATTGTGAGAGTGGCATCACTGGTGCTTCGGAGTCATCTATTTCCAATAAAAAGCAATGCTCTCAGGTATCAAAAGGTGAACACAGGACTCTTAGTTTTGAAGAGTTGCAAGCTTTGGATGACATGGAATTCGCAAATGTTGTTATATTTGGCAATAGAACATTTCGACCATTGCAGCATCAGGCTTGTAAAGCATCTGTTGCGAAGCAAGATTGCTTTGTTCTCATGCCGACTGGAGGTGGTAAAAGTCTATGCTACCAGGTGATATTTCTTTCTTCATATGTGCAACATCTCTCTTCTTATCTTCGCACAAATGTAATGTTGGTAACCATGTCATTTCTACAGCTTCCAGCGACTCTGAAACCAGGTGTAACAGTGTTCATATCTCCTCTACTTTCGCTTATTCAGGATCGGATAATAACTTTAAATCTCAAGTTTGGAACAAAGTGCTTCCCAAGCAGCAGCTGTCCTCCAAGAGCTAAGGCAGGGTTCAGTTCTTTCTCTGCAGTTAGTTCATATAAAAATTTTCCCGTGTATTATTTCTAGGAATTCTTTTTGAGGAGCTGTATAAGCGTTGTTTTTGAGATTTGCTTGGGTTAATCTGTTTTCTGTGCTAAAACTTATTTCAGTTTATGGCATCAATGTTCTATGAGTAATGCTGTGATATTCAAATTTAAAATGCTCATTTCTGACTAGATACTCTTCATCAATTGGTTTTCACTTTTTTTACATTTTGGTTTTGTGTTTCTAGGAAAGATAAACCATCATGTAAGCTCTTGTATGTGACTCCTGAAAGGATCGCTGGAAACACATCATTCCTTGAGTTGCTAAAATGCTTACAGCGGAAGGTGGGTCTTTCCATCACGGCAGAATACATTTAAAAAATATAGTAGCTTAGGATTATGAAAATTTTTGGTTACTGATTAATTGTTGGCAAGAATTAATTGTCGGCAATAATAAAAGAATTCAATCACGTAACTTATACAAACACAACCACGTCTTTTACCAATTGTAGCAATTAAAGAAACTAATACTATCAATATGTATAATAAATTAACAATAAAAATTACGAAATATAACAAAAATAATAAAATATTAGTAAATGAATTAAGTTATCACCTATAAGAACATTAACCATAACATTTCATCTTAATGTTAAGATAGTGATCTGATAACATTATCGAATCAATTTAAATTACTGAGTTATATAATAAATTGGTAATCCTATTTCTTTACTCAAAATTTATCCGTTTCATGTCTTTAAGTTATTTTTATTCCATAATTAAAATATACAATAATAAATTTAAATTTAAGATGATAATCACAAAATGCAACCTATGAAATTTCCTTGCAACTCCTATGAAATTTCCTTGCAACTTTACCATCTCAACAATTGCAAGGGTATAATGCAGTTCGCTGGACAATTTTGCAGCAACGGGTAAGGAAAAGGGATGAATTCACAGGGAACAAGAGTAGATATTGAATCAGGGAGACTACATGGAAGAAGGGATGTCTCAGCCGCTTGTCTTATTTCATTCATCTGTAACTGTAAGGTAATGACTCTCTAATTATTTTGCATATTTGAAACATACCCACTTCAGAACTTCTCATTTTTACTTGACTTTTAACTTAGATATTGAATTGTTGTGATAATTGATTATATAACAGAACTTTGATATTTGAAACATACCCACCTCATTGTAGGGGTTTGAGTTGCTTTTTAACCCTAAGAAACGTGCACTCGCGGCGCTCTTCGCTATTCTGGAAGCAATTTCATTTTATTTGGATAGATTTGTGGAAAGCCGGCTGAGTATCCGTATTGTTGCATGTCTGTTATCGGTACTTGGTTTACTGGTGATCGTTTGGACTCTTTTCATGGAAAGAAATTCCATGGCAAATAGAGTAGTGGCGAAGAAGGTACTTTGGGCGTTGGAGATTGGCTTCGGAGTAGCCCAATTGATTAATTCATTTATGATACTTGTGGGTAGCAATATCATGAACAAATATATGTCATCAATTTTGCTGCTGTTTTTTGTCGTGATTTCTTATGGGTCCACTTTCATAACAGATGAAGAAGGTTCTGATACGTATGGCCTCGAAAACAGTATTTCGTCAATTGAATTTCTGCGTAATCCAAATGAGATTGATGAACGTTCGGATCTTTCAAATACTCCAAATGAGATCGGTGAACATTCGGATCTTGCAAATACTTCTAACAAGATAAGTAGCCCTTTCATATTCCCTCGCCGAAAACGTTCTGTAAGACCGCGGTTGTATCTTTCTATCGACTCAGACTCTGAATAGAAAATTTTGGTTCTTGGTGTTGGTTATAGAAATATAAAATGTCAGAAACGGTGTCATCTTGGTGTTAGAGATGTGCTGCTAAAATAAAGCCTTGCCGTTTTATGTTTAGCTTATATTTAGCTTAAGTAAAAATGTTGTACAAAAAGGGAAGAATCTTTCCCAACTGTAATCAGTTCAGTTGAGTATACAATTTCGTTTGTGCCTCTTTCAATTATTCTCCCTCAATTCTCTCATTATCTCACACTTATATGCATAAAATTTGTAGCGCTCGTGCTTGGACCTTTCTTGGGGGTAGAAGGCTCCTTATGGGAGGTGTGTTGATCAGCCCTTAATGATTTGAAAGAAATTTGACAAATATTTGGTCCTTGTAAAAGCCTCAATGCAAGTGTGAGAAATACATAGCAGAACTAAGTATGCAGGAAAATTTTCTCTTCAAAATTTGTTGCCAGCGCGGGCAGAAATTTTCCTTTAATGGAGAGTTATAGGCCCTATCATCTGATGCCGTTTGTTTTAAAAGAAGCCCTTTTCCCTTTGTTGTTTTCAGAGAGCTGCAGGTCCATTGCTGGTAAATTGTACAGAAGAGAGTCATTTAATCAGAAAGTTGATTATTCCTTTGGTTTAAACCTTTGGATTTAGTGGGGGGTTCCCCCCCTTAGGTAAACACAAAATGCCTTTTTGTCTCTGTTTTATGATGAGAGCAAATAGCCTGTAAATGTTTACTCAGATTCAATTATTTATAGAGAAATAAATTTTCCCATTGAATAATATGCTTGATTGCTAAGATTTATATATTCAGCCAGAATTTATGGATAGAGTTGGTGTTGGGGACACTTTCTACATCGTATCATATGGATCTATCGAAACAAATTTGTTTCGTTGGCAGAAGGCAAAAATCTCAACAATGATCATGGAAGGTTAAATGTTGATATTTGTCAGCGATGATGATGTGTGTACTCTCAACTCCGATTCTTAATGGTTGAGGAGTTGAAGGTGATGATCTTCTGGCACAAATCATTGAACTTGAATTTTACTTATGTGGACAAGTTTTCTTTTGTATTATTACTATGGTTTAGTCTAACTTGTGTGTGTTTCTTGTAACATGTATTTTTCTCAAAGTTATAAAGGTGCCATCCCCAACTTGCTGGCTGATATCACCTGCAGGTAATTCTTGGTATTTACTTCTGCCAGGTTAAGTTGAGTAGTGGGTAAATAAGGCTGGTTATGTTGGCAAGCGGTTCTGATGTTTCCAAAGGAAAATAAAAATGTTTAGGAGGGTCAAACATACTTCTACTATCATCCTTAGGATCGGGATGAACTGAACAGAAATCATAGATTGTCTTACATAATCTCTGAAAGGTACCAGAAAGCTTGGGATATTGAAGAAATACAAATAAAATAGTACAAATCAGTGGATTATAATTCAGTGCTGCACATGACAGTTTTGGTGTTATAGATTGTAAGGTTTCTCACATGGATACTATTGGTGGTTTAAACAGAGAGTAAAGGATATGTTCTCTCCAATGCTAATTTTTCTCAAAGCATTAATAATCAGTACATTATAACAACCATCTTTAATTGAAATATGAATGGGAGTCCCAAAGATATGATAGGATAGGATAGGACAGGATTGGATTGGATTGGATTGGATTAGAAAGCTTGACACCTTCCACTCTTTGTACCAAAAAACTGCCTCTCCTTACAATTACAATAGGTGAGTTCCGGCCATCCTTCGGCAAGACTTATAAATATGGAGGTGGCCAGAATCTGGAGATTGTCAACCAAGATACCCTAAAAACAGCCACCAACCTATACATTGGGCGGTCTTGTTCGCTATTTGGCCCTGCAGGACCCCATTTTAAAAATTACAACAATGTGAAGATCAAGTCCTCTAGGAATCCACCATCTTCATGGTGGAATGGTCCTGATGCGAAGAGGCACAGGAGAATTGTTAGATACAAGTACTATGCTGTGCAAGGGAAGGTGAAATTTTCCACTGAGAAAGGGTATCATTGGTTCAAAACCAAATGGTCTAAGGCTGTTCATGGGCTCTAGCAATAGGAAGAGAAAAGCAGAACAGAGAAAACAAAAACATAGTGTTGTCAGGAGGGTAAGTTAATCATGTTTGTTAAATTTGTAGATTGGTCTGTAATTATGTAAAACCCTTTCTTTTATGTTTTCCTGGACCATGTAAATGTTTTCAGATTTTTTTTTTTTTTAATGAATAAATTATATATATGTATATATTAGTTCTTTAGTCAGGACCGTCCTGATATAATTTATCAGGATATACTTGAATACCGTTGGATTCAGTCATTTGATTGAATGTAGTTCATGCAGAGGACTAAAGGTGATTAAGCATGATGATCCTGACTATATATATATATATTATATATTAACAACTTAAAAATCACTTTTCACTAAAATACAGAAACAACAAATTAACGTCTTATAATGTTGTCGAACTCAAATTATCATTGTACAATAGAATGGGGTTGATTGAATTCAATCATTCGTGGATTTGTTTAATCTCGTTTCAAATCAAGTCAAATCATCATAATCTTAACCAAATCAAGTCGAACTGAAAATTATAAAAACTTCACTGTTCATTTTCACTCATTTTAAATATTTTTTATTTTCCTTTCTCAAAAAAAAAAAAAAAAAAAAAGAACTAAACAAACAAAATTAAGCTTTCCCATCCAAACCCGTTTGTTTCGGTTTCGGGTAACTTATGGGTTCGGTTAAACAATTAGGCGGGAAGAGAAGCTTAAACGGTGACGTTTGAAAGCTCGAATTCTCAATAATCTCAGCTGGTTTAACACTCACTCTAGGTTTCAACCTGAAACACAATTTGCGCGGGAGATTTCAATCATTTCATCACCCTTCAATCAAATCGATTCGTCGGATATGGACGCCATGATCTCGAGTTCGAGAAAGTTCGATTGCTAAGCTTGGCTCTTGATTTTGGCTTTGATGAAGCTTCCTCTAAAATGCTTGAGCATATAAAGTTTCTTGACATTTGATTGTTGTGAAGGTGATGATGGGCGAGATTTTGTGTCTGTGGAGCATTGTGGAGATGATATTCTTGCCGCATTGGCTGAAACCATGCAAGACAGTGAGGACTGGGATGATTTACAGGCTATGGAGTCAGGACGTTGTAGAGCTTGAATACAGTTGACGAAAGGGTTTGAATAATGGTGTGGCTGATAATGATGACAGTACTAGAAATTATATTGACATTGTGATGTTCACCTCAGCCTAAAAAGCGCCCAACTTTGATGGAGTTGACTCTTCAATGTATGGTGAAGACTTGGACTTCGGATTCCAAGCAAAAGGATCAGAACAGTCGTTCCTGCACTCGAAGTTTGGTAAACAGTTTTAAGATCCTTGGTAAGAGTTAGTGAATGGTAGTTTTAGCTCTTTGCTGCAAACTTATCATTCTGTTATGCAACGGAAACATAAACTCTAACGCTAGCTTATTGAATATAATAATACAAGTAATAAAGCATAATAAATTGCCAAATGAAATGCAAAAATAAGAATACAAGAATTAACGAGTTCGGTATTAAAACCTACGTCCTCGGGCGTTGCAAAAAAAGCTCCACTATCTCCAAACAATATTACAAATATTTGGCAATACAACAAATACCCAAACACAAGGGAGATACAACAAAACTTGCAAACTAAGGGTCCTTAAAGAAGACCCCTAAACAAAAGAAGTATAATGGAATTACACTTGGGATACAATTAACATTGATTTAGTCCTTATATATAGGCCCCAAAAGTTCCCACTTTTCATTCCTTTTCATGTGGGACAAACTAACTCATTTTGCCTATTACTATAGTCCCTAAACCTTTCTCCATTATCACTTCTACCCCATGTTTTTTGCTAAAAGCCATTTTTCAACAAATCTCCACCTTGGCGAATTAGCAAATCTTCAAAGTTTTGTATTCTTCCAAAATTTTGCAACACCTTCAAAGCACCAAGACACAGTCAAGCTCGCAGGATGTTGATCAAGTTAAAACAATAAATGAACTTGACCCCTGTCACTACTGAAGTCAACATGTCTGTAGGATTATCTTCTGTGCCAATCTTCTGGAGAATCTTTTTCCCATTTTCAATATAATCCTACACATAAAACTAAACCAATACTATAGTACATAAAATATACTGTAGAAACCATTTCACAACTTGCAAATGTCCTTACCAGGATCATACTATGCCTGCTCACCATACAAACTGCTTGTGAAATATCAGGCCTTGTGAACCCATGGCCCATCATACATTGATCAAATCACTTGTACCACTGTCTTGGTGACTGCTTCAAACTATTAGCGATTTCTTCAATCTGCAAACCCAATTTTTCTTTCCAGCAACCCTACATCATCTGGCTGAGCTTGTAGATTTCCTCTTCCAAACTCAGAGAACACTTCACTGTAATCAAATTCTTCCATTTGAGCATATCCCTTTACTACACCCTAACCTTGTTCAAACATCTTCTCTATTAGGATAAAATCCCTTCTTCTTTGCATCACCCCATTTGCACCCAATCGCCTTCTTATGTAGGATCGCATTTCATCATTCATGGTCTGTTTCCATGATTCACATTTTGAACTCCTAACTACTTCTTTATAATAGTAGGAATATCATCACCTACGATTGGAAGTGCATAGCCACTATATTAGCGAAACGAACAGGCTTGCGAATTTCTCGTCTTGGCCTATTGTATGCAATCATTCCTGTTGCTGAGGAGATTCTTGGGGTAAAATCTCCTTTCATCAATAGTACCCACTTAGTCACCTCAGAATCACCTTTCTGTCTTGTGGACACTATCTGGTTCAACTGTTTTTTCAAACTCCCCTGCTGCTAGTTAGCTCCACACACTATGTCACAGCTTGAGCATTTCTGAATCTGTATCCTCCTGTACAACTGCAGCTGCCGTTCAATAACTGTACTACAATTATAGTAATACAAGTTGTTCTCCTCTGCCTTTCATTACCACAGAGCGTCAAAGAAACTTTTAGAATTCCATCTCGCAATTTCACCGTGAAGCCTTTAGATTCCAGCTCCCAAAGAGATGAATTCTTTTTTCAACTTCGGTACATACCGAACATCTGTTGAGTTCTGTTGAGCCATCATGATTCTTCAACCGAATTGAACCTATCCCATTTGTTTTACAAGCATCATCTTGCCCTATAAACAACTTCATCACGTTCTTCAAATTCAAGAACCTATCCTTGAAGACACATATGATAGGTACTACCTGAATCCATAATCCACTCATTTGATCCGAGGTGGAT